CCCCCCGCCGCTCCTGCACCCAGGGCTGGTTTGGGGCTGAACTTCAAGGCGGCCGCTGCGCCAGCGGATCCCGTTCCGCGCCCGGGGGAGCCCTTTGGCTCACGGGCAGCTTCCTTGCCGGGGAACAGGGAGGCAGGGCAGGGGAAGAGCAAAGGATACACGGCGGTGCTGGCCCAGTAGGCGATGCAGAGGCACAGCAGGAAGAAGGTGCACAGGGGGAACAGCAGCGAGGACATGACGTGACCGACGGCCCTGCGAGAGGACGGCCACACCGCGGTTAAAGCCCGCGGCGCCGGGAGCCCCCCCAGACGCCGGGGCGGGACGGGGGGCAGTGGCCGTGGGGCGGGGCCGGCCGGACCTGCTGGCCTCCTTGATGAGCGCGATGGCGATGAGGATCCTCTTGCGGAGGAAGATGAGCAGCAGGACGATCACCAGCTCCACCACGCACAGGATGATCACTGCCGGGGGACAAGGGGAGCCTCAGGAAAGGGGGTGGTGAGAGACCACCTTCGCCTTCCCGGGGAAAAACCCCTCGTGGCTCCCCCCCCGGGGACGTCCAACACGGCAGGATCCCCCCGCTCCTGCTCCCCCCAATCCTAAATTCCCCCCTGCCCCCAAATCTCTGAGACCCCCTAAAATCCCCAAGACTCCCCCACTCCTGTGAACCCCCCAAATCTCTGGGCCCTTCCAAATCCCTGAACCCCTCAAATCCGTGGACCCCCCAAATCCTTGGACCCCTCAAATCTCTGGATCCTCCAAATCCCTGAACCCCCCAAGTCCCTGAACCCCCCAAATCCCTGAACTCCTCAAATTCTTGGACCCTCCAAATCCTTGGACCCCTTAAATCCCTGGACACCCCCCCCCCAAAATCCCTGGACCCCCCAAGTCCTTGGACCCCTCAAATCCTTGGACCCCTCAAATCTCTGGACCCCCCAAATCCCTAAACCCCCCAAATTCCTGAGCCCCTCAAATCCCTGAACCCCCCAAATCCCTGAACCTCTCAAATCCCTGGACCCCCCAAATCCTTTGACCCCCCCAAGTCCCTGAACCCCTCAAATCCTTGAACCCCTCAAATCCTTGGACCCCCCAAATCCTTTGACCCCTCAAATCCCTGAACCCCCCAAGTCCCTGAAACCCCAAAGTCCCTGAACCCCTCAAGCCCCTCCTTCGCAAGGAGACCCCCCCAAAACCCCCCGTGCTCCCCCTTCCCTGTTCCCCGGCACTCACGGAAGGCCAACCACGTCTGCCGCAGGTGGAGGTAGACGCGCAGGTCGGTCTGAAAGCCCAGGTCCACCAGGGACACGTCCGAGCCCGCCTCCCCTTTCAGCTTCGCGTATTCCATGTAGCAGTGGAAGATTCCTGCGGGGAAAAGCGGGAGATTGTCCCGTTTTCAGGGAAAAGCGGAGCCGGACGCCGGCGGGCTCCGCTCAACCCCACCAGCGCCGACGTTCGGGGGGAAGGCACCCGGAAGGACACGGAGCGTGAGCTTCCATGAGGCAAATCCCGCTCAAAATAGGGAGAGGAAAGTAGGGAAAAGCCAGGGAGGCGCTCCCGACCCCCCCGCTCACCGTATCCCAGCACCAGGATCACCATCACGATCATGACCCAGACCATGATCCCGGCCAGGAAGCGCAGCAGGACGATGAAGATCAGGCTGGCCACCATGGCGATGACGAGGCCTCTGCAGGAGGAAGGTGCTGGTGTGTCACAGCCCCCCCCGTGCCACCCACGGGGCACCCCAAATGTGGGACTTGCGTGAGGAGGAGCAGAGCAAAGCCGCTCCTCCGGCACTTTGCTCTTTGCCTCACGGAAACCACAGGGGGGAAATCATTAAATCCCTGAGTTTTGCCCCATTTGTGCCGGCCCAGCACCCGGCTCTGCCCCCGGGGAGGGAGGGCCGTGCTCACATGATGATCCAGTACCAGGACACCGTGTAATCCTCAAAGATCTTCATGGCCAGCTGCCGGGTCTCCAGCACCACGTTGGCTTTCCTGCAAGGCAACGGGAAACGCCGATGGAGGGGGAGCTCCGAGGAGCCCGGGGGGG